AGGCAGCGGGTCTCCCACCCCCTCCAGACGCTCGGCTCTTTCCCCAGCTCCCTCCCACCCCCAAATAATGCCACCCCCAGCTGCACACCCACCCGCTCTGCCCTCTGGGACCCAGGTCTCTCCCCCTGCCCACACATTCCTGTCCAAGTCCGTGATGCCGCTGCTGATCCCCAGCACCAGCTGTACCTGACTGCATCTCTTCCACGGCCTCCCATTCCTCCCGGGCTTGCTGCAGCTCCTCGCTGATCTCTGACCAAGGAAAGACACCCCGGAGGTTAGAGGTGGCTGGGAGACCTGGGGGGTGTTTGCTCCCTTCCTCCAACACTGCTCAGGACATCTCGGGGCAGGATTTCCCTTTCTCTGGGGAGAAACCCCGACCAGAGCCCCCTAAGACGCTGCGAGGTTTCTCCGTGGCACATTTGGGACAAATCAAGGCAAAGCCTTTGCCAAGCCGGAGCCAGACAGATTTGCCTGTGAGCCCAGTGGCAGGTTCCTGGGACTCCCTTTGAGGTCCCCAGGAGCTTCCCCCACCATGAAACGAGGAGATCAATCCAAAGGAAGCAGAGGAAAAGCTTACCAGCGCCCTTGGGCTGCCTCGCTCCCTGCACAAGAGCCTGCAGGAGCCCATTTTGCCTCAGAGCTGAGATCTGAGCGGGGACAGAGAGAGACACAACCATCACCCACCAGAATTGACCCAGAAAATCAACCACTCCCCATGAATCCAACCCCAAAATCCTGAGCTCTTCCCTCAGGCAACCAACCCCATCCTCGGCTGGTGGACCTAGGGCTGTGCCAGCCGCATGAAGGGTGTGAGATCGGCTCAGACCCCTTTGGCACATTTCTTTTCCCCATGACCAGCTCGGGTAAGGGAAAGCTCATTTTCAGCACCCCAAAGATCGCTGTGGAGGAGGAATCCAGCGGTGACGCCTGGGGGTGCTGTTTGACAACGCGGGCACTGCCCTGAGGCCGCGGCATGGTACGCTGCCGCCCGGGGAGGGGGAGGCTGGGGGGATAG